TTCGGGTCTGGTGACCCTTCCTCAGAACTGTTCTGAGGAAGGGTCACCGGACCCGAAACGTTAACTCTGTTTTTTCCTTCACAGATGCTGCCAGACCTGCTGAGCTTTTCCAGCAACTTTGTTTTTGTAATCTGATGTCATGATGCTTTGTTTAAATTTGCATGGAGATTCAAAAAAATGATTTGGTGTTCAAAGATCTGCCATGTCCTCCGGATCCACTGCTTTGCATACAATCCCCCATGAGATAACATCCTGCACTGAAGACTAGCTAATGCTAATAATGGGTCAAGTCCAGCTTGGAGTGAAGAACTGGGGATGGAACAGAAAGAGGAAACTAAACATGCAACCATTCCTATCAGAAAAGAATATGGAGGGTCTCTAAGCCCAGGCACACTTACATAGAATTCACAAACCTAGGCTCCATTTCAAGAAAGGTCTGAAGAATGTTAACTGAAGGATGTTAACTCGGATTTCTCTCCACCGACGCTGCCAGACCAGCCGAGACTTTTTAGGCAATTTCTGTTTATGTTCCAGATTACAAGCATCCACAGTTCGTTCATTTTTTTTTCCTCTACATGCATTTGGTTGAATCCATGTATTTTATTTAAATCACTGTTGATGCTGCTCCTTTTGCTCATTTCAAGAGCTCTTGCACTCAGCAAGGGTTCAGGAAAGAGAAGTAGGAAGTGGGAGCATTTAAAAAATACATAAATATTTATATAAAAAATATATTTATAACAGACCCAGCTTGACTCTTCTGCACCAAAGCCTGCACTTGATAACCCTGGAGCTTGGGATTTGTATCTTCAGTGGAATTGCAAGTTTAACAGAAGGAAGCAGCGAGAGGGTGAATCAGGGAGCGGGAATTTTGGGAGAAGAGGGTCAGAGAGGGGAAGGGTCTTTAACAACCATGAGGATCAGGAGTGAAAAATTCAGGAGGCATGACTGACAATGAGCAGGAGTCATTCTAAGCAGAAAGTTCCATTTATTTTCGAACTTTCAAAATTATTTTACCAATGTAGGAATTCAACAATGCAAAGTACTTCAACTTGGAGGGTATAACTTTTCTTTCTCGGATAGGGATAGTTCTACAGAATCTTACCCGTTTTTAATATTGGTTTTGTTGGAAGTGCAGTTTGCTTGAAGTTGCAATTTTCAAGAATCCAACGACAACTGTAAATGAGGACTTTACTAAAGAACCTATCAACTGTAAATGTTGGAGCCAAGCAGCATCTGGGGAGGCAGCGAGCTGTGCAAACAGGAGTCACTTGAATCAAGCTGATGTCTTCACAGCATGACCAGTGACAGAGGCAGCAGGATCTTCTCTTTTTTATTAATTCATGGAACGTGAGCATTGCTGGCTGGGCCAGCATTTACTGCCCATCCCCTAATTGCCCTTAAGAAGGTAGTAATGAATTACTTTCTTGAACTGCTGCAGACCATGCATTGTAGATAGAACCACAATGCCTTTAGGGAAGGAATTCCAGGACTGTGGTGCAGAAAAACTCAGGAAATGGCAATTTATTTCCAAGTCAGGATGGTGAGTGGCTAGGAGGGGAACTTGAAAGTGGTGGTTTCCCCATTTATCTGCTGCTCATGTCCTTCTAAACAGTAGTGTGTTTGTTGCTGTCTCAGAATCTTTGGTGAATTCCTGCAGTGCATCTGGAAATGGTGGCAGAGAGAGTGAATGTTTCTGGATGCGATATCAATCAAGCAGGCTGCTTTGTCTTAGGTGGTGTCAAGCTTCTTGAGTGTTGTTGGAGTTGCACTCATCCAAGCAAGTGGGGAGCATTTCATCACACTCCTGACTTGAGCCTTGTGGATGGTGGACAGTTATGGGTACTCAGGAGGTAAGTTACTCAGTGCCGCATTTCTAGCCTCTGACCTGTAAACATAACATTTATTTGACTGGTCCTGTTGAGCTTTTGGTCAATCATAACACCCAGGATGTTGATAGAGTGTGATTCAGTGACGGTAACACCATTGAATGCCAAGGGAACAAGTGCAAAGGAGGCAGAGAGAAGAGTGTGTAAGTAAGGGTGCAGGACGCAGAGAGAGAGTGCTCGTGGAGGCATTGGTCTAGTGGTATTCTCACTAGACTATTAATTAACAAGCTCAGGTAATTTTCTGTGGACTTTGGTTCAAATCACACCATGGCAGGAGGAACTGGAATTCAATAAATATCCAGAATTAAGAATTTAACGATGACCATGAAACCACTGCTGATTGTCAGAAAAACCCATTTGGTTCACTGACATCCTTCAGAGCAGAATATCTCATGGTATAAAAAGTGTCATGATGTCAGTTCAAATATGGGGAAGGAAACTTATACCATTCTCCCCCAGTTGATGACTCTGTGCTCCTTCATGTCGAGCAGGACTTGGAGAGGAAGTGCCGAGGTGGTGAGGATGCAGGACATACTCTATGTGGGGGACTTCAATGTCCACCAACAGGTGGCTTAACAGCAGCACTACTGATCAATCTGGTCAGGTCCTAAAAGACTGTTTCAGTGGCAGGCGTTGAGGGAACCTCAATGATGATAGTGCCACACAACATGATCTGAAGGTGGGACTTTTGTCTTCACCAGAACTGTGCGGTAGTCACTCTTACCAATACCGTTATGGACAGATGCATCTTCAGCAGGTAGATTGGTGAGGTTAAAGTCAAATATATTTTTCCTCCCGAGTACCCATAACTGTCCACCATCTACAAGGGGCGGCATGGTAGCTCAGTGGTTAGCACTGCTGCCTCACAGTGCCAGGGACCTGGATTCGATTCCACCCTCGGTTGACTGTCTGTGTGGAGTTGTACATTCTCCCCATGTCTGCGTGGGTTTCCTCCAGGTACTGTGGTTTCCTCCCACACTCCAAAGATGTGCAGGTTAGGAGGATTGGCCATGCTTAATTGCCCCTTAGTGTCCAGGGATGGGCTTAGCCATGGGAAATGCAGGGTTATAGGGATAAGATGGGTCTGGGTGAGATGTTGTTCCGAGGGTTGGTGAGGATAAGGCCGAAGCATTCGCAACAATCTTCAGTCAGGTGTCCTGAGTGGATGATCCATCTCAAACTCGTCCAAAAGTCTCCAGCATCATAGACGACAGTCTGTCTTCAGCCAACTGGATTCACTCCACATGATATCAAGAAACGGTTGGAGGTACTGTATACTGCAAAGGCAATGGACCCTAACAATATTCCAGCAATAGTACTGACGAACTGTCATCCAGAATTCGTCACACCCTTAGTCGAGTTGTTCCAGTACAGCTACAGCACTGGCATTTACATGACAATGTGGAAAACAGGGTATGCAGGGTAGTTTGATCTTAGTAGGATAATAGGTTGGCACAATATTGTGGGCTGAAAGGCCTGTACTGTGCTGTGCTATTCTATGTTCTATGTTCTATGTTTTAAAACTACTCAGGTGAGTCCTCTACACAAAGTGCAGGACAAATCCAGCCTAGCCAAGATTACATCACTTTACTGATGATTGAGAGCAATGTGCTATCAACAGTGCTTTCAAGCAGCATCTGCTCAGCAATAAACTGCTCAATGACGCCAAGTCTGGACTTTGCCAGGGCCACTCAGCTCCTGACCTCATTACAGCCTTGGTTCAAACAAGGACAAAAGAGCTGAATTCTATAAATGACATGGGAGTGACAGCCCCTTGATACCAAGGCCACATTTGACAGCGTGGTAACAAGGAGTCCTAGTAAGACTGGAGTCAATGGGAATCAGAAAGGAAACTCTCCATAGTTGGAGTCATATCTGACATACAAGAAGTTACACTTTTTGGCAGTCAGCCATCTCAGCTCTAGGAGTTCCTCAGGGTACTGTCCTAGGCTTCAACTGCTTCATCAATGAGCATCCTCCATCACAGGGTCAGATGTGGGAATGCTCACTGACGATTGCATAATATTCAACACCATTTCTAACTCCTCAGGTACTGAAGCAGTTCATGTCCAAATGCAACAAGATTTGGATAATATCCAGGCTTGGACTAAACAGTAACAAGTAACATTAAAGCCACACAATACCAGGCAATGACCATCTCCAATAAAAGCAAATCTAACCTCTGACCCTTGACATTCATTGGTGTTACCATCATGAATTCCCAACTGCCAAAATCTTGGCAATTACAATTGACCAGAAACTGAATTTGAGATATATATAGGAGCTATTAGAGCAGATAAGAGACTAGGAATCCTGCAGTGAGCAACTTACCTTCTGACTCCTCAAAGCCTGTGCACCATCTACAAGGCACAAGTGAGGAGAGTGATGGAATACTCCCCACTTGCCTGGATGAGTGCAGTGCCAACAACACTCAAGAAGCTTGACATCATCCAGGACAAAGCAGCTCACTTGGCAGCCACCTCATCCATAAATTTTCAGTCACTCCACCACTGGCCTCACTAGCAGCATGTCCTGTAGAAATTCTTCAAAATTCCTCAGACAGCATTTTCCAAACACACAACCATTTCCATAGGACCAGGGCAGTGGATATATGGGAACACCACCAACTGCAAGTGCCCCTCCAAGCCAATCACTATCCTGACTTGGAAATATTTTGTCATTCCTTCAGTGTCACTGAGTCAAAATCCTGGAATTCCCTCCCTGATGACGGGGATTGTGGTTCTACCAATAACACATGGACAACAGTGGTTCAAGAAGGCAGGCAACTTTCTCGAGGGTAACTGAGGATGGGCAATAAAACGTTGGCCCAGCCAGCAACACCTACGTACGATGAGTGAACAAAAAAAGAGTGAGGGACAAGAGTGGAAGTGTAGGAGAAGAAGTAGAGTGTGTGTGAACCCTAAGAATGAGCCAGACACATTCCTCCACCTCCCAACAGTTGCCACCACTGCATCTCAACAGCTGAGCTGTACTCTTACTTGGGCAACAGGCGTTTAGGCACAAATTTTTGCAAAGAATAAAAATTTTTGCTGTTGAATATTATCATTTTATATTTATGGTTAAGTAAGGTAGCAATCTGTAAACAAACATAGGCTACAAAAATATTTGGCTTCATAGTTAAGGTTTCGTTCTAGCTCATCATGACCGACATATCTGGCAAATGAATGCTGAAACTCTGCTTATATTAGAGAAGAGGTAGTCATGCTGCAGGGAGTAACACGAGTTCAGCACTGGCTCAGCCATTGCGCAAATATCCAAGAAAATGCTCAGTAACCCTTCATTTGAATTATAGAGCTCCACACTGAAAACCTTGAAAGTTTATTATTTCCAGCCATGTGTCTATTGATACTTAGCTGATATTATGTAGAATTTCCATTGAAGTTTTCAGGAGCACCCACTGTAATTTTGGCAGAAACCCCAGATAAAGAACATCCATTTCACCAGGGTCTCTGGTAATCCCCTGCTAAAGTTATAGCAGGAAATCAAGAAGCACTTTTAAAATTAGGGATTGCCTTTTCAGGACAGCGATGAGGAGAAATATTTTCTCTCGGAAGGCTGTGCAACTTTAGAACTCTCAGCCTCTAAATGTAGTGGAGGTGGAGTCATTGAATATTTTTGAGAGAGATGGATAGATTCAAGATAGGCAGGAGAATCAAGGGTTATCAGAGATAGATGGGAACTTGGAAAGCAAAACAAACAGATTGATCACGATCTTATTGAATGCCAGAGCGGGGCCAAAGGGCTGAATGACGTACATCTGCTCTAATTTTGCACAGTAATAAAAAATGAAGAAATTTTAGCTAACTTGTATTCAGATGATACAAGAATCAGGAGTGAATTGTAACTTGAAACAACTGCATTACATATTTGTTATATCTATAAATTCTAAAGAGTTTGCCTTTTTGGAGCTGTAGATCAGTTTCAGACAACTGTTTGGAACAGAAAGATGGGATGAAAGACGTACAGTTAAAATTTAACATTGAACATTGTACTACATACACACTCAAACTCAAAAAAATGCACCTTTTGTTTCAGTACTGTCAAATATTCCATCAGTTTTTTCACAGGATTTTCATTCCCAGAGTCTTGAACTCCAAAATACCACTGCTTGATCCAGATGTAGTTTGCTGCAATCAGCTTTTCTGGAAGCTAGAAAAGATCATTTTGCAATTAAATACTAATCAGCTAATCAGTCCCATGTTATAATGAATTACACAAGGTCTTAATGAGCTACAGTACTGTGATAACAGGGGACATCTAGTGGTACAAACAGAAAACTTACATTCATGCTCGCACTGACAATCAAAAAGGATTTCCCTGTCATTCCTGCTCCATCTTTTTAAAGACTGAAGATCAGGTTAATTTAGCTTTAAGTATCCACTGAGAACAGAAATAAGAAACCTTTTATTGATTTGGTTCAAATGGCAATTCTGGCCCAAATCAGTGCTCTAAAAAGTGAGGATAGCTTTCCTGAGTAATTACAGCATTTTGAATAAAGTGCATTAAAACAGGAAAGCTCACCTTACTTACATTTTTCCAAAGGAAATGAAATTAATGTCTTAGAATGCATGTCCATCTCAGAACTGAAGAAGAATCATATTAGACTCAAAACTCTGTTTCTCGTACCATAGATGCTGCTGGGCCTACCAAGTTTCTCCAGTTTTTCATTTTTATTGTCTCTGGGTAAAAAAGATTTCTCCTGAATTCACCATGATTTGCTAGTGACCTTAAGTTTTTGTCTCCTACTTAACTGGATCAAAACTCATAGGTGATTTAGGAATAAAGATACAGGACTTCTCCTGGATAGAGAGCTTATTGATTAAATCGGTTTCACATTTCTCTTCTTCCATCCCAGTTGTTTCTGCTTTACACTCTTTGAGGAAAGCCGGTCTCTTCAACATAGGTACTACTTCCTAAATAATGCAACGTAGCAGCAGTTTCAACTTGTGTATTCAAGGCCTTGATTGAGTCTTGAATTCAGAAGTTTGAGACGCAAAGGCAAAAAAATGCTACTTTCAAACCATAATTGAGGCAGTTCCCTCCTGATACTATTTTGGTGAACCTTTAAATAAAAATCAATTAACTAATTAAACTAAGTTTATACAGGCATTGTAATACAAATCAAAATTTGACAAGTCTCCACTGAACTTAAATCAAATTGCTGTTTTAGTGGTGTGGGTCTTGGGAGGAGTTGGTGGTGGTGGGGGGTAAATGAATGCTTTCCAGTCCCTGTGGTGTCCAGTAGTCATGGAAGTGTTCAAAAAGTACAAGAACATTAAAAAAAGGTGTAAGCAAATCCAGCCTTCAAGACCACTGTCATTGAATGAGATCATAGTTGATCTTCCACTTCAATGCCATATTCCAGCGCTATCTCCATATCACTTCATATTTTAATACACAGAAATCAATCAATCACAGTCTTTGAACTTATTCAATGATTAAGCCTCTAGTGCAGAGAATTCCAAAGATTCAAACTCTCAATGAAGAACTTTCTTGTCACAATCCAATATCTTACTCTGAGACAATGTCCACTGGTTCTGGAACCCCACCCACCAAACTAGGCAGACATTCTTTCTGCATCTACCTGGTTGAGCTCCGTAAGAATTTTGTACATATGAATTAAATCTCGATATTTGAAACTGCAAACACATAGGCCGATTTTATTTAATCTTTCTTTACCGGGCAATCCCTCCATTCCGGAAATTAGTTTGTTGAACCTTCATTACACTTTCTCTATGGTAAGCATAGCATTTTTCAGGTAAGACGACCAAAACTGCGTGCAATACTCCAGGTGTGCTCTCATCAAGGCTCTTTCCAACTGTAGTAAAGTACCTTTACACCTATGCACATATTCTCTAGAAGTTCGCTTGCTTTTGCACTAGCATGTTAACGCATGAACAAGGACACCCACATCTCTTTATAGTTCAACACTTTCCAACCTCTCAGCATTTCAGAAAAGCTCCATTTCAAAAGGAAAAGGAAAAGAAAAAGAAGGAAAAACAAACTCACATTTCCCCAATTATACTCCATCTGCTAATTTTTGGCCCACTCACTTTCTCTCTCCAAATTCTCGGGAAATATCTTTGCATCTTCACGACATCTCGCAATTCCACCCAGTTTTGTGTCAGGTACAATTTTGGAAACACAAGCAAACTTTTTATTAACTTGCACCTATGGGACCAGGAGTGTATCGGTTGATCAATATTCCGGTTGAACAAGAGGTCCACATAATCAATGTAAAAAATACACACTAAGTAATAGAAAAGAAATGCATGGGGTATACACGTCACTGTTGTACTTTACTTACACTTACCTTCTCACTCGCTCCTTCAATTGACTATTCAAACATTGCAGTGATCACAATAATATAGTAAACTTCCAGTATTTCATGTACATAATTTTTGCCAGTTTGGAGAGAGCCGGTTCATAAGGTGCAGGTTAAAGCAAAGTTTGTTGTATTACTTTCAGGACCCACATCCAAACCATTGGTACTCATTGTGAATAGTTAGGGTTCAGTACAGATCCTTGCAGTGCCTCTCACCCTGCTAATTTGAAAACAATCCTACTCCCTGTCTCCTGTCCATTATTCAGTCCTTAATCCCTGAGAGTTTAGAGCACAAGGATTGGGGTAATAAACTTGTTCACGAACTTCTTAGATGCGATTTATCAAAGGTTTTCTGAAAATCTCAAACATAACACATCCACCAGTTCACCATTATATATCTTATGAGTTACATATGGAACTAAAATCTAACGATGACCAAGAAACCACTGTTGATTCTCGCAAAAACCCATCTGGTTCAGTAATGTCCTTTCAAGGAGGAAATCTGCCGTCCTTGCCTGGTCTGGCCGACGCGTCACTCTAGTCCAGCTATGTAGATGACTTTTAAATTACCCTCTGAAATGGCATAGCAAGCCACTCAGTTATATCAAACACTAAAAAAATGTCCAAAAATGAAACCAGATGGACCATCTGGCATCAGCCTAGGCACCAAAAACAAACTCAGGTCAGTCAACCCTGAGAAGTCATTCTTACCAAAATCTTGGGGGCTAATGCCAAAATTGGAAAAGCTGTTACCGACTAGTCAAGGAATAGTCTGACATCACAGAATTGTTATGGAGCTGGAGGCAACTGTCATTGGTCCCATCATGTCTGTGCTGGTTCTTGAAAAAAGCATCATGAGCTAATTCCAATCTCCTGTCTTTTCCCCATACTATTGGGCACTATTTCTATCCAAGTAATCATTGCCCTCTCATTTGCCTTAATTGAATCTGCCTCCACCATATTTCTTGAGATGTAACGGCAAGATTGCTACTTTCAAACCATAATTGAGGCAGTTCCCTCCTGATATTATTTTGATGAACCTAAGTTTATACAGGCATTGTAATACAAATCAAAATTTGACAAGTTTCTAGGCAGTATGTTCTACACTCTAACTACTTGCTGCATGAAAAAGTTTTTTTTTCCTCTCACATCACTTTTTTGTTGCATGTCACTTTAAAACTACATCCTCTCATTCTTGTCACTTTCAGAATGGAAAACGTTTCCTGATCTACTCCATCTAGCCTCCTCTTGATTTTGAAAACTTCTTTTATATCTCTTCTCAGTCTTCTCTCCAAGGAGAACATTTCCAACGTCTCCAATCTATCCTCATAACTGAAGTTTCTCAATCCTGGAACCATTCTTGTAAATCACTTCTGCACTCCTTCCAATGCATTCACATCTTTCCCATTATGTAGTGGCCAGAACTGTACAGAATATTCCAAGTGAGGTTTAGTAACTGTCTTGTACAAGTTCAAGATCGCCTCCCTGCTCTAGTACTTCATGCCCTATTAATAGAGCCAAGAACACTATGTTTTCCCTCTTCTCCTAGACCCCCTTCAGAATTAACCCACTATTTTATATTACCTTCAATGTTCTTCCCACCAAGAGTATCACCTTACAATTGAACTTCATTTGCAACCTATCTCACTACTCAACCAACTTGTTAATTTTCTTTTGGAGTTTCACACTGTCCTCCTCACAGTTTATTGTCCGCTGCACATCAAGATCCAGATCACATACAACACTGACTCAATAAACATTCCTCCAACCCAAAAAATATCATCACCATTACTCACTGGTTCTTGTTACTAAGGCAATTTTGCATCCATGTTGCTACTATCCCTTTTATACCATGACCTTTAATATTTCCTCACAAGTTTGTTGTTTGGCACTGTATCAAATGCCCTCTGAAAACCTACATAAACAACATCAACAGCTTTACCCTCATCTATTCTTTCTAGATAGATGTTACGTCTTCTAAAAAGTTTAGCAAGTTAGTTAAACACAATTTCCCCTTTGGAGATCCATGCTGATTCTTCCTAATCAATCCACTATTTTCCATGTGACTCCTAATTCTACAATGAATTATAATCTTTAGAAGCTTGTCCACCACTCAAGTCAGACTGACTGGTCTGTTTATACGCAGAGTCAGTATAGTCACAGACATAGTACAGACACAGTCACACTCACATATTCATATCTTATAATGTCCCAGACAACACTATCAAATCCCTGAATTTTTCCTGTTGCATCAGCAGTTTAGACCTAATGGAGGTGACAGCACATTGGTAAACAATTAGTGAGGAGTTGCCTTTGAGTCCTCAACACTGGGTTTCCAGATCCCATTAAGCATCAGATCAAACTTGAGCAAGGATATCTCCTGATTACGACATTCTACGAAAGAGAACTACTGTGTGGCAAAAAGCAAAAAGTCGAAAACAAAGCTAAGTGATTTCATAACGTTTGGATTAGATCCTTCCTCATCCAGTCATGAACGATTTGCATACAAGTAAACAACTGACTGGAGGAGGAGGTTCTGCAATTATCCCCACCTTCAATGATGGGGGAACCCAGGACATCAATACAAAGGATAAGGCTGGGCATTTGCAATAATCTTCACCCAGAAATGCAAAGTGGATGATGCATCTTAACCTCCTCCAGAGGTCCCCAGCATCACAGAAGCCAGTATTTTTGATTGATTCTACGTGATATCAAATGATCACGGAAGGCACTGGATGCTGTATGAGCTATGGGCCCTGACAACATTACAGCAACAATACTGAAGACCCATGCTCCAAAACTTCCCATGCCCCTAGCCAAGCTGTTCAACACAGGCCTGACATCTACCCAACAATGTGGAAAATCACCCAGGTATAAATCAGGACAACCCAAACCAGCTAATTACTGCCTCATCAGTCTACATTTTGACTCCAGTAATGTTTCATCAGAACTGATTATGTTGGAGCTGTAAAGGACTTTGTTTAGACCATACCTGGAATAATGTGTGCAGTTCTGGTCACTGCTCCAAAGGATGAGATTACACTGCAGTGGGTGTAGAGTAGATTCTCCAGGATGTTGCCTGGGATAGAGCAGTTTAGCTATGAAGAGAGACCGGATAAATTTATTTTGTTTTCTTTAGAGTAAAGAAGGCTGAGCGGGGACCTGATTGAGGTGTATAAGATTATGAGGGGCATGGACAGGGTGGATAGAAAGCAGCCTAGCCATTCTCCTTAGGTGAAGGGTCAATAGCAAGCAGGCAAAATTTTAAATTTTAAAAATGAAAGGAAGATGTTTGGAGGGGATTTGAAGAATGACTTTTTCATGCAGAGAGTGGTGGGAAATCTGCCTCGGAGAGTAGTTGAAGCGGGAAACATCACAATCTTTAAAAAGTGTATGGGTGAGCAGTTGAAATGTCATAACTTTCAAGGCTACTGACCAAGTGCTGGACTAGTTCAATGTGGATTTAGGGTAGTTTCTCGGTGCAGAAACAATGGGAGAAGGGTCTTTTCTGTACTGTATGATTCTATGACAGTATATAACTTCTAAAGGTCATAAACAGATTGACGTAAAAGGTGACGAGGTGGCAGATGGGATTCAGTGCAGAGAAATGTAAGGTGAGGCACTTTGGTAGGAAGAATATTGAAAGACAATATAAAATACGGGGCGCAGGAGCAGAGGGACGTGGGTGCATATATACATGGATCATTGAAGGTAGTGGGACAGATGGAAACAGCAGTTAATAAAGCATACACTGTCTGGGCCTTTATTAATCAGGGCATAGTGCAGAAACAGAAGGACTTGGGTCTATATGTATGCAAGTCAATAAAAAAGGTGGTAGGGTAGGTGCAAAGAGCAGTTAATAAAGCATACAGCTTCCTGGGCACAGAGTTCAAGACAAAGGAAAGTATGCTGAACTTGTACAAGTCACTAATTAAACTTCAGCTTAAGTACTGTGCTACTGAGCTTAAAGTGTCTTTTGGAAAGTTGTGAATGCATTAGAAAAATGAAGTTTGTAACTGGTTCCAGAGATGACAAAGATACATTGTAGAAGGTGGGACTTTTCTCCCCAGAGAGAAGACTTGACAGATTTGATAGAAGTTTTCAAAACCATGAGTGGTCTGAAAATTAGTAGGTATATAGAAACATTACCACTTTTAAAGGCATTAAGATCAAGAGGGCAGAGGATCAAAATGATTTGCAAAATAAGCAAATACAAGGAACTGTATAAGAAAACCTTTTCCTGGGTGGTACGAGTCTGGAAAAAAAATGCATGGAACTTTGGTGCAGAGTAGTTCAAATCAAGGCATCAATATGATTTTAGATGATTATTTGAATATAAATAATGTGCAAGAGCACAGGGAAAAGGCAGGGGATAGGTACTAAGTCAAACAGGTCATTTTTCTGACTAAATTGAGGCTTATAAGCAAGGTCCCTTGGAAATTGACAGATGGAAATTCCAATTCTAAAAACCCATATGCAGTTTTTTTTTAAAAATTACATGCCTACTTGATTTACGATAAAATAGCACTAGTAATACCAACCAATCTCAGATTTAATTAAAAGTGGAAAATATTAGAAATACTGAGCAGGTCTGACAGCATCTATGGAAAGATAAATAGAGTTAATGTTTCAGGTGGTGACCTCTAATCAGAAGTTCTAAATCTATCACCAACTCCAACCTCATTCCTGTCTCAACATCACCACAATAACCTGCAACAAGTATGTCCAATTTATATGATCTGCATGCAGGCTCTATGTGTAGAACGATAGTATTTAAAAAAAAAAAACTGCCCAATCTTAAAACGAGAAAGGTACATTTGGGTCAAAAATTCAATAATGCACAAAGGTACCTGGATTAGGTCATCTTGTTGCAGGCAGGGAAGAAGTTTAACATTACTCAATACTTGAAACAGTGTAGCTCTTAAAGCACAATAATTATCACCTCGAACTCTTCTTACAGAACTGAAAGTTTGACATACAGCTTCATATGCCTGTTAAAAAAAAACTACTTGTAGCATTCTCAAATGTCTTGTAAAATGTTCATCACAGCAGTCCAAAAGGAATATTCCATATTTACATCAACATTGAGATCATTTTTTTTCTGGTTTTGAAATGTAATTTCACACTGGAAGAGAGATAAGTCAAGAGTTGATTATTCAGACAGTAGCCAACATTGCAAAGTTACTCCTGGCAAGGACACATACGTTACCAGAATTCCAAGAAATCAAAAGGGTTCACTTTTGTAGCACCTTACGTAAAAATATCTGAGGTCTTCCCACATTTACCACAATTAATTTCAAATTGAAATTGAAAGTATGCAGTTCCTTTTGCACAAAAATACAAGTCTTTTATATTATACACAGACCACTGTCCAAATTAAAATACAGGAACAAGTGAGTAAAAATTGCATCTAATTTAAGAACAAAATTGAAAGCACCAAAAGTAGTTGTCTACCTCTTTCATTAGTTGCGCTTTTGCTGTGTTTCCCTTCCATTCCCTAGCACAATATTCCAAAACATCTACACCAGGTTCAATAGTGGACCACTTTGTGGCAGCTACATCAGGAAAAGTAAATCAAATAAAAACCATAATCAGTCAATTTTGTTATTTTGCAAGAAACATGAACAATTGCAATACCAATTCTAAACATGAGGATTTTATCAAGATATAACATTAGATGAATAGTGCAAGCCTTCCTTCAGGATTTAATATTTACTTTCTGCCAATGCTTCAGTGTCTTTGTAGCTTCTTTGTATAGATGCTTGCTTTTAGCTGATCTGTTAAACTGCAGCACTAACTACCTGTCCAGAAGTACAAAAACAGTATACCCCTGAGTGTCCTCACCATTCAGGCCTTAACCAACATCAATGGGTCATCTCAATGTCATAACAGATTTGTTATTGTATGCAACTCAGTGGCTATGCTTCAGGACCAACTAATTTATTTTAATTATTTTGGAAAATTCCAAAATTCCTTTGGAAGGTACAACATACATATTATTTCTTTTATCCTTAACCACCTAAATGGAATTTCATCCAAAATACTTAACTTGTGTAAGTGGAAGGACCTATATCGATAGGAATTATCTCTCGTAGATCACTCACTCAAAGTCCTGAAGCAGCCAAAGCAAAATAGTACAGTTGCTGGAAATCTGAAACAAATACAGACAATGCGAAAGAATGTAGGAGGTCCGGCAGCATCTGTGGAGAAATCCAAACTCAGTTCTGAAAAGTCATCAGACTGGACTCAAAAGATTAGCTTGTTTCTCTCACCACAGATGCTGCCAGACTTACTCAGTTTCTCAAGCATTCTAGTTTGTTTCTGTAATTTTTTTCTTCTGATGGAAATCTGACTTTGCATGGCCAAACAAAAGAGAAATTAATCAATTTTCAAGGGCACCATCACCATAGATTCCAATGTCCAGCCAATTCTTACCAATGTTGAGTGAACTGGAATACCTCAATTCGAGGGACTGTGAAGAGGATGGTGAGAAGAAGGCTGAGACTAGATATTCCTACGGTATGGAGTGGAAATCAGAAGTTGTCAACAGCAGGAGCTTTGACCGTGAAATTGGGCACAAGAAGCCTAGCTCAATGGCAGTGGAATTGTCTACAGCCGTGGCTTCTCATGTCAATGTGAACAATTTTCACTTTTCCAGAAGTAAGCAGGTTAAATACTAACAAGGTGTTTTCGTTCTTCACTGATGAAGAAAACATCGTAAAGCTGGTTGAAGAGGGACAGGGACAGGTCAGCTCAGTTGGCTGGATGGCTTTGCGATGCCAGCAGTGTGGGTTCAATTCCCATACAGGCTGAGGTTACCATGAAGGACACTCCTCAACCTTGCTCCTCACCTGAGGTGTGGTGACCCTCAGGTTAAACGACCACTAGTCATCTCTCTCCAATGACAGAACGGCCCTATTATCCTCTGGGACTGTGCCAACCTTCCCCTTATCTCACACTTGCTAAAAGTAATGAGACCTCTGTAATTTCTGTGTTGAAAGGATTCCATTACATATTGGCTTACTTTAATGTATGACTACTCTCTGAAAGGCAGTGCACCAAGATCTTTGAGATAGTAGGAAATGCCGATGCTGGAGTCTGAGATAACAAGATCTGGAGCTGGATGAACACAGCAGGCGAGGCAGCATCAGAGGAGCAGGAAAGCTGACGTTTCGGGTCTGGACCCTTCTTCAGAAGTGGGGGAGGGGAAGGGGACTCTGAAATAAATAGAGAGAGGGGGAGGCGATGATAGAAGGTGGGTAGTTGAGCAGGTAGGTGGAACGAAGACGGACAGGGCAAGGAGGCGGGGACGAGAGGGGGGCTGGTCTTGGGATGAGGTTGGGGGTGGAGAGATTTTGAAGCTTGTGAAGTTCACATGGAGACCATTGGGTTGTAGGGGTTTTCAGGCGGAATATGAGGTGCTGTTCCTCCAGTTTTCAGGTGGCATCGTTGTGGCACTGGAGGAGGCCCAGGATGGACATGTCGTCCAAGGAGTGGGAGGGGGAGTTGAAGTGGTTCGCGACTGGGAAGTGTAGTCGTTTGTTACGAACCGAGCACAGGTGCTCCACAAAGTGGTCTCCAAGCCTCCGCTTGATTTCCCCGATATAGAGGAGGCCATATCAGGAACAGCGGATACAATATACCTCGTTAGCGGATGTGCAGGTTAACATCTGTTTAATGTGGAAGATTTTCTTGGGGCCTGGGATAGGAATGAGGGGGGAGGTGTAGGGGCAGGCGTAGCACCTCCTGCGGTTGCAGGGAAAGGTTCCAGGGGTGGTGTGGCTAGTGGGGAGTGTGGAGCGGACAAGGGAGTCACGGAGAGAGTGGTCCCTCCGGAAGGCAGATAAAGGTGGGGAGGGAAATATACCCTTGGTAGTGGGGTCGGATTGCAGGTGGCAGAGAACGATGCGTTGAATCCGGAGGTTGGTTGGGGTGATACGTGAGGACAAGGGGAGTTGTGTCTTTGTTGTTATTGCGGGGAGGGGGTGTGAGGGCTGAGGTGTGGGAAACACAAGAGATGCGGTCGAGGGCTTTTTTGGCTTCCGGTGGGGGAGGGGCGGGGGGGAGGATTGTGGTCCTTAAAAACGAGGACAACCGTGATGTCTGGGAGTGGAACGCCACATCTTGGGAGCAGATGTGGCACAGGCGAAGGAATTGGGAATAGGGGATAGCATTCTTGCAGGAAGGTGGGTGAGAGGAGGTGTAGTCTAGGTAGCTGTGGGAGTCGGTGGGCTTGAAATAGATATCAGTTTCCAGGTGATTACCAGAGATGGAGACAGAGAGGTCCAGGAAGGAGAGAGAGGTATCAGAGATGGTCCAGGTGAACTTAAGATTAGGGTGGAAGGTGTTAGTAAAGTGGATGAACTGTTCGAGCTCCTCGTGGGAGCCCGAGGCGGCGCCGATACAGTCATCGATGTAACGGAGGAAGAGGTGGGAGATAGTGCCAGTGTAGCTGCGGAAGAGGGACTGTTCCACGTATCCTACAAAGAGGCAGGCACAGCTTGGGTCCATGCGGGTACCCATGGCCACCCCTTTCGTCGGTAGGAAGTGGGAGGAGTTGGAGGAGTTGTTAAGGGTAAGGACGAGTTCGGTTAGGCGAATAATGGTGCCAGTGGAGGGGGACTGATCGGGCCTGGGGGAGAGGAAGAAGCGGAGGGCTTTTAGGCCATTTGCATGGGGAATGCAAGTATACGGGGATTGGATGTCCATGGTGAAGATGAGATGTTGAGGGCCAGGGAATTGGAAGTTTTGGAGGAGGTGGAGGGCATGGGTGATGTCACGGACATGGGTGGGGAGTTCCTGGACCAGGGGGGAGAAAATGGAGTCGAGATAAGTTCGGTGGGGCAGGAGCAGGCAGAGACAATGGGTCGACCAGGGCAGTCGGGTTTATGGATTTTGGGAAGGAGATAGAAACAGGTGGTGTGGGGTTGGGGAACGATGAGGTTGGAGGCTGTGGGTGGGAGGTCAACTGAGGTGATGAGGTTATAGGGTTATGGATGGTCTGGGAGATGATGTTTTGGTGGTCAGGGGTGCGGTCATGATCAAGGAGGCGGTAGGAGGAGGTGTCAGAGAGTTGGCACCTGGCCTCAGCGATGTAGGGGTGAGTGAGCCATACCACAACTGCGCCTCCCTTGTCCACAGGTTTTATAGTGAGGTTAGGGTTGGAGTGGAGGGCTGCATGTTCTGTGGGGGAAGAGGTTGGAGTGAGAGAGAGCGGTGGAGAGGTTGAGGCGATTGATGTCATGACGGCAGTTAGAGGTGAAGAGGTCGAGGGAGGGTAGGAGGCCTTGGGGTGGTGTCCAGGAGGATGGGGTGTGTTAGAGGTGGGAGAAGGGGGTCAGTGGGGCAGGGGTTAGACTCGCTCCAGGAGGATAGGGTGTTTACTTCCATTTATGTGTACTTCCAATCTCAACTGCAGTTACACTGTGGAATCTTGTTTTGTACAAATTGGTCTCCATGTATCCTGAATGACTATATTTCGAAAAATATTTCCATTGTCTGAGATGTAGGATGTCCTAAAGCTGTGTAAGGTACTACAGGTGTGTAACGGTGTTTATTTTAAACCAGAGGTCACAGATTGAAGAGAATTGGTGAGGAACCAGAGAGATGAGAAACATTTTTACACAGCAAGTTGTTGAGAACTTGGATGTACTGCCTGAAAGGCTGACGCAGAGGAACTTTCAACTTGGAATTGGAGAAATAGTTGAAAAGGAAGTACTTGCAGGTAGTTGAGGTAGGTAGCCTCACAACCTTCAAAAAAAAAAAAGTACTTAGATGAGCACTTGAAATGTTATAACATTCAAGGCTTTGGGCCGAGTGACTGAAAAGCAGGACTGGTGCAGATTTAGTGTAGTTTTGTAGTACAAACTGGATCGACTGAAAGTCTTCTTCATTACTGTGTGTGATTTTATGATTTGAATTGTTACACATCTGTTAGGAAAATTCTTATAACACAGTACCAAATTAGTATACTGAATAGTGGATGATTATATTTCATTAAAAACTGTTAAGCAGCAAACTTCATCTAGCTCTAGTAGCTGATCATTTGACCATCTAATGACCATCTAATCTATGTAACTGCAACATTCTTGCCTTTTCAACAGCAGTTTTATTTCACTAAGCAGCATAAATCATAGCCCTAAGTGACGATTCTGCAACCCTGCTGACTTAATTGTTGGGAAGACGAAGATGTCAGTAGCAAAGTCTGTTTGTGAAGAGAGAAACAAGATTACCTGCCGGTTGGCTTTCAGAGGTCAATCTTTGATTTTTTTCTTTTTCTATCTCAGCTTCGTCACGGTACAGGTCTTCCTCTCTTCAAGAAAACAAAACAAAATAATTTCTGCTACACAATTTATTTTCATCATAGATTAATTATTCTGTTTCTGCATCTTTAGTGTGGGCATCACTTTTATAAAAAAACATTTTGTCCAGGTTTTTTATCTTGCACTCATCGGAAAATCTGGCAAGAAATACCAACGTAAAAGGAAAAAGAAACACATTTGTACTTTGGTATGGGTGTTGCCACAGAAAATGCAGTTAGGTGATGAATTAAAATTAATTGCCAAGCTTTATTGTTGTTTCCTCTCTCCCGCTTCTAATATTGTATGTGGTGTACAACATGAATAAGCAAATCAGCACTCTCGAGCTGATAATTGTATGGGAAATGCTGCATTTTAAATGCAAAAAGCAATGCAGCCTTTATAAGGTTACTATGCAAATAAATGTAGCAGCATTAACACTTATCTGCAGTTGTGTTCATCAGCTTTCATTACAATTACACTGTATCCCAGGATGCTTTGGTTGAACTGTGTTTAAAGTCAGTACCTCGAATCTCATTTCTCTTCACTGATGGAAGGACTGCCCAGGGGATATTCACTATTAATACAAATGGTTAAACCAATTCCATATATCTGATTAATTGAAATGTCATCAGTCACCTCTATAAGTGCAGTAAGACATTATTTTTTAAATTTGGTGGATGTGAGCCTTGTTGAAAAAGTCATCATTTATTGTTTATCTTTAATTTCCCTTAAGGAGGGGATGATGAATTGCCTTATTTTGCAGTTTGGTTACTGTGATGATCAATCACTGAACATATTTACACAATATAGTCTCAATGAAATTAACAAGAAATGTGAACCTATACACAAGGCATCTAGAAAGATCTTAACAGACAGTAGTGTAATACTAATGTCATTAACTAATAATCCAAAGCCAAGGCTAATATTCTAGGGACAAGGCTTCCCAACTCACTATGGCAGAAGATGAAGTTTGAATTCAATAAAAATCTGGACAATGTTAGAATAATGGCAACCATGTAATCACTAGTGAACCAGATGGGTTTTTAATAGAATCAATAATGTCTTTCAAGGAAGAAAGATCGGCCATTCTTACTTGCTCTGGCCTATATGCTACTCTAGACCCACATCAATAACTCTTGGCAATCAGAGATAGGCAATAAATTCTGGCATAGCCAGGTACACCCAAATCCAATAATTGAATAAGAAAAGATACAACCTTTTTTCCAACCACATCCTTTAGATATACTCAACCTCAGTGAATTATCACTCTTATCTTGAATCTCTCAAATTTCTTACTGAAATGACTCTTTCCGACCAACTTCAGTTATTGTTGAAGCGGCTTAAGACTTCTTTTCAGCTCTGATGACATGAAGGATTCTTGCCAGCTCTAAGGTCTTTCTTACTTCTTTCCACTCACAGCTTGGAATCTTTTGCAAACTAAAAAAAAGCTGCCTTCTGCTAGGATGAACTCAACCTACTAGTGGCTCCTAGGTCATTTATTTTTTCTGAATGTCAAAGTTTAACTTTGTACACTCAGCAATTAACTGCCCAGGTAGCCAATTGAGCCATTTAGGTTTAATCATATTTTCTTAGAAAGTCTATTTTGAACTCACTGTTCAAAATGACTGATTTTTTTTTTTTAAAAAGACATCTTCACAAACTAAAACCAGAAGTATACTTTAGTTTTGCATACTTTCCTTTATATAAGATTTTGCTTTGCTTTAAAATCCAAATTCTAAATTTATTAATTTGCATCACAAACTGCCACAGTTCATTTGATACAGGGGCACCAACAGTGCTTTTAGGGAACACAGTTTCAGGTTTTTGACCGAGCAACAGTGAAGGGACAGTAATATAATTCCAATCTATAATGGTGAACAATTTAGAACACACCTGGAGGTGTTGTTGTTTCCACGCTATGCAGCCTTTTACCTTCTAGGTAGAAGTCAGAGGTTTGATAGGTATTGTCAAAAAAGCCTTGGATTACTGCAGGGCTCACGGTATACACTGCTACAATTGGAGCCAAACACATCCAGGGAACTGGACAGTATTCTATTATATTCTTGACTGTGTCTTACACGGGATGAAAAGGGTTTCAGGAGTCAGGAGGTGTGTTAGTCATTGCAGAATTCCAAGCCTCTCACCTTCTCTTGTTGCTATAATCGCTGGTTCAGTTCAGTTTCTGGTTAAGTTCAGTTTCTGGTTAACATTAACTCCAGGATGTTGACACTGAGGGGATTCAGTGCTGGCAATGTTACAGAATGTCAACAGGTGATGCTTAGATTTTGCCTTACTGAAAATTACCATTCCTTGACACTTGTGGGGTACAAATGCTACTTGGACCACTCCGTCCTAGAATATTGGGAGGACCTGCTTCTCCAGTCACAAGATTATTCTCATCCATGCTGGCTGCAGATGGGCTCACCAATGAGCCTTTCAACAACAAACCCAGGAGAGAAACAGCCTGTGACTGTAGGGGCATCGAGAGAATGAGAACAGCCAATGAGAGTGACTAGGGGAGCAACAGCAAACAGCTGGGTCCAGGGTGATGATATGATAGAATTTGCTCTGCAGGTCGAGAGGGAAAAGCTGGAATCAGATGTAACAGTATTACAATTGAGTAAAAGGTAACTACAAACACAAAGGAAGAGCTGGCCAGAGTTGACTGGAAGAGAAATCTAACAGAGAAGACAGTGGACCAGAACAGTAGAGGTTTCTGGGGATAATTTGGAAGGCACAGCAGAAATTCATCCCAAAGAAGAAGAAACATACTTAGAGGAGGACGGGACAACCACAGCTATCAAGGGATATCAGGGACAGCATAAAAGCAAAAGAAAAAGCATGCAACATGGTGAAGACAAGGGGAAGCCCAGAGGATTAAGAAGTCTTTAAAATGTAGCAGAGGATAACTGAAAAGCAATTTGGGGGAAGATGATGAAATACAAGGCTAAGCTAGCTAGTAACATAAAAGAAGATTGCAAGAAACTTGTCGATAATTTAAAAAGGCAAGAGAGAGGGAAAAGGGGACATTGGACTGCTGAAAAATGTGGCTGGAGAAGTAGTGTGGGGAACAAAGAATTGGTGGAGGAACGGAATACAGGTAGTTCTCCTACAAACGTGACAGTTGCTTTGCGTTCTTGTGTGACCTCACGCTATAGAAAATTACCACCGAAAATCATGTTATAGGGAAATTGCTATACCTGTATAGCAGAAAGTTCGTGTCATCCAAACAGCATCCACTGCTCATCAATCGTGTTACAGCCAATTCGTGTTAACGAAACACGTGTCATAGCAGAACTACCTGTAGGTATTCTGCATCAGTTTTCACAGTGGAAGACACCAACAGCATGCAGAATTTTAAGACAGTCAGGAGGCAGAGGGGAGTATAGTGGCCATCATTACGAAGGTGGTACAGGAGAAGCTGAAAGGTCTGAAGGTGGATAAATCACTTGGACCTGATGGGCTACAACCCAGAGTTCTGAAAGAGAGCGGAGGAGATTGTAGAGGCTTTGGTGTGATTTTTCAGGAATCACTGGAGTTGGAGGAATGCCAGACAACTGGATTATGGCTAATGTAATGTCCCTGCTTAAGAAGGGAGGGAGGCAGCAGACAGGAAACTATAGGCCAGTTACCCTGACCTCAGTCACATGTTAGAGTCCATTATGAAAGATAAGTACTTAGAAGTGCATGGTAAAATCGAGCTAAGTCAACATGGTTTCATCGAGGGCAGGTCACACCTTACAAATTTGTTAGAATTCTTCAAGGAGGTAATGAGTAATTCAGACAAAGGAGAACCCATAGACTTGGATAGGCCAGGAGAGTAGGAGAGGGCAAAGAAGTGGGAGATGAAATGTAGTGTAGGAAAGCGTCAGGTAGGAAGAAGAGCCATAAACTATATTCTAAATTGTTCTTGGGATATGGGTATCACTGGCAAGGCTTTTATTGCCATCCCAAATTGGCCTTCAATTACGAGGCTTGCTAAGCCATTTCAGAGGGTAGTTAAAAGTCAACTACATTACTATGGGTCTGGAGTCAGATGCTAGACCAGGTAAAGATGACAGATTTCCTTCCATAAAAGAACATTAGTGAAGCAAATGGGTATTTCAAATCAACAGTCAGTGCATGGCTGTCATTAGGCATTTATTATTCTGATTATTAATTCTTCCAATTTTTGCTTATACTGACCTTGAACTTCACCACCTGCCACGGTGGAATTTAAACCCATGTGCACAGATCATTAGGCTAGGACTCTAGTTTACTACTCAAGTGTTTTACCTCTACGCCACCATCTTCCCATGGACTTAATGAAACATATATTGAACTTTGCACTTTATTATTTGAAAAACTTCAACCATTTGGATTCAGTTTGACAAATTTCCAGATTTCCATGCCAGTACATAGAGTTGCACAGCATATTACACAACATACCCATCAAAGCATTCTTGATTGCAGACCTTCATATTTTCAGCAGTTTCTTCAGCGACACCGGCTTCCCAAAGGCTTCTTTCATCGCTGGAGAGATCTTCTTTCAGTTCTGGAGTGTCTGACACCAATTCAATAATCTGCGCATTTGCACGAATGAGCTCTTCACTTGGTTGGCAATTCTTCATTTCCTCCATTCTACAATCAGATTGTTTATTTTGAAATGTCTTGGCTCTCTCTTCATCCTCATCCAAGACCGTCTCTGCTTCTCCATGCTCCTCTTTGAGACCACTGCTAAAATAAAGAAAACATAGAAAATACAAAATAAACAACTAAATTTATGACCATCTGGCTTAAAATGGTGGCAGGCTTGTGCCCATCATTGTTACATTCACTATCTTAGTTGAACAGTTGAATGAGCATCATGCAACAAGTATTTTGCAGACACCTCACCTCCTAACAATTGAAGAAAAAAAGTTTTAAAATTTAGTACACCATTTTCTTTCCAAATGTTCTATTGTTATTATTTTTCTTCTCAAGCAGCATCAGTAGCCAGAAGGTGGTAAATTCTATGGCCACTAGAAGGAGGCACGAAAATATCTGGGCAGCAGAGGGTAAAGAAAACAGGAAATAGGAAATAATAAACCAATGCATCAAGTCCTACTCAGTGAATCAAACATCCGCTGCTTAAGTCATACAGTGACTTAATTTCAAATGTTGCAACCCATGACTCTTGCGCCATATTCATATTTGTCAATTACAACCCCACGGTGAACTAGTTGAGAGACAGACAATAGTCTTTCACGATACCTCTTTGCAAATCTTCATAGCACTTTGTTAGTGTCATTTCGTGAATGTAGAATTACAATTGAACAAGTAGAAAAGATACCAATTGGATAGGAACTAAAACTACCAAGTTTTACCAACAAAGCTTTTA